AGGTCTTGAGGTGGGACTTGAAGGAGGCTAAGGAGGGGGCGAGGCAGAGTGATTGGGGAATGGAATTCCAGAGGTTGGGGGCAGAGTGGCTAAAGGCTCTCCCGCCAATGGTGGGGGAGGGGTGGTCGAAGGACATGGAGCAGGTTGGAACCGGCTGAGCGGAGGGATCTGGTGGGTTGGTAGGGGGTTAGGAGGTCGCAGAGGTAGGGTGGGCTGAGGCCATGGAGGGATTTGAATGTGAGGATCAGGATCTTGAACTGGATCCTCTGAAGGATAGGGAGCCAATGGAGTCGGGCGAGAATGGGGAGATGGGGTCATGGAGTTTGGTGCGGGAGAGGACACGGGCGGCAGACTTCTGGATTATCTGCAGCTTGTGGAGGGAGGAGTGGGGAAGGCCGACAAGCAGGGCATTTGCAGTCGAGACTGGAGGTTATGAAGGCATGAACAAGAGTTTCAGCAGCCTGAGGGGTGAAGTAGTGGCGTAGTCGCGGTCTGCAAAGTATGAGTTATGGAAAACTTGGAGACTATACAAATGTAATCTTGTTGTTGAGCAATTATACGATTTAAACAGATAAGACTTATGCGAGTTTTATTATATTTATCCAGTTCCCTTTTGAAAACTGATATGGATTTTACCTGAAGATCTGCTCCCAGCAGGGCATATCATTCCATATCCTAACCAATCTGTACTAGATAAATGCTTCTAATCATTTAATATTTCTGCCATTCCCTTAATATCTGCTGTGAGCTTATCCCATTCTCCCCTTCTGTCCCACTTTAACCATTATTTTATTGTTGACAGCCTATAGAACACCTTGTTGTGTCTTTTTATATATTTGCTGTGTTCTCCTCATGGTTCTTCTTTGCCTTCCTAATTGTCTATTATCCTCTTTCCCAAGTTTACTATATTCACTCCTGTTTCTTTCTCCGTTATCTATTCTGTACTTTTCAAATACTTTTTTCCTTAGTTGCAGTTTTGTCCTCACTCCTTATTCATCCATGCCATCCCATTATTAGTTCATTTTCCATTATTCCTTATTGGAATATATTTCTCTTGCACCTGGAAGTCTACCTTCATCAGTTCTTTCCTTATATCATTATAATTAGCTTTTTCCCAATCAAGGAAATCTTGGTTTCGTCTATCTCCTTTTCTATAATCATTTTGAATCTTGTTATGTAATGGTCATGACCTGAGCTGTTCCCCCATCCTCATTTATTGCCCATAATGTCAAGCAACAACAACAACAGCTGCATGTAAATAGCGCCCTTCACGCTAGATAGCATCCTGGAGCGCTTCACAGTGGCGGAGTCTGACAACGAGCCAAGGGGAGAAGGAGGGGGGAGGTGACCATAAGGATGATCAAAAACGAAGGTCTTTATGCTGGATTTGAAGGTGGGGAGGGAGGAAGGGGGCAAGGCGGAGTGATTGAGGGAGAGAGTTTGGGGAAGTAGTGGGTGAACGCACGGCCACTGATGGTGGAACAGAGGGCACGAGGGACAAATAGGAGGCTGGAGCCTACTCATCAGGAATTTTACAGGGAGTTCCTGGTACTTGCTATCTACCAACTCAGTGTTCAGATCTGCACTTGACCAATTTAATGACAGTCTTGCTTGTGGGGAGGTAGGTCTGCTTGTAACATTGCAACTAGAAACCAATTGGCTCTAAGGTGATGTGTTTAGCAACAGAAAGTCAGTATTCTGTGAGGCAGGATTCTGTTGCGATCTTGCTCATTTGGTTCCTGAGCCAAGTGGGTCTACAGTGCTCCAGGGCACTGCTGATGACAGCCCAACCTGACTCATCGGCAGGACCTGGATGTGCCACTGTCAAGCTTGTCCAACTAGGACCACCTTACCTGTTGGGGCTTTGGCTTGCAGAGTTTATGGAGGATTGCTGGAAAGATTCCCTGCCCTATTACTGTGGACCCACATGGTTCAAGCCAGAACCAAGGACTCTGCCTCAATACTTTTGAATTCAAAAACCTCTTAAAAACATATTTCTTCAACTGTGTGTTTGTTAAGTCTCTTATTTCTGCCATTTGTCAAGGCATTTTGAGATTTTGATTGTTTTACATGAAAGGTGCCGTATAAATGCAAGTTATTTTATAAGGCACAGTTTAATTAAATGTAGGAAGCAGGGCAGGAGGATGAATATTTTCAAACGGTAAGATCAAAATTTCTATCATGACACTGAGGGAGTGGGAATCCTATATCCACTGCCTTTCTAGCCCATGAACACCGAAACCAATTATTTGCCTCTCCCAATAGTCATCCAAGGGCGGTAATTCCATCAGCTTTCCCTTGAAATTGCCCATGAGATGCACAACATATCAGCTCTTCCCATGCCTCTCTCAAACTGCCAAACAATAATAATCCTTGCATTTGACATAGCACCTTTTCATGCCTCCAAGATGTCTCAAAGGGCTTCACAGAATATACTGTAAAGTGAATCGACTCCATACTCTGTGGGCGAAATAATAACCAACATCTGAGAGAGCTCTCTCTCGCTCTCTCTCTCTCTCTCACTGCGTTTCCTCGCTGCCTTCCGACTATTTAAAGGAAATTCCTCTTTACAATGGAATCATAGGGAAGGCCGTCAGACTGTAAGCCCACACCCATTGCTTTGTTGTCGGTAAGAATTTCCTAAGTGTTTCCAACTGAGTCATTATTTTCTCAAAAATGTAAAAACATAACAATTTGTTCTTTCCCGGATTTCGTCCAAGTCGATTATAGCCTTGGGACGCCCTCCCTACATCAGAGGCCCTATACAAATGTAATTTTGTGTTGTATTGTAATTAAGAACCAATCAACTCCCCAATTCTGCATTTAGCACCCTGCTGAAACTGCGGCAGAACATATTCAATTAATTCATTTTAATTTATTTGTGGGTCTGATACTATTGCGCCACACCTTCCTTTTTGTTCCACCCTGCTCGTATCCCTAAACTTTTCACGGAAGAGTGCGTGGATAAGAGTGGCAGTGTGTGTGTGAGAGTGTGTGTGGGGGGGAGGGTATGTGTGACAGTGTGTGTGACAGTCTGTGTGTGGGGTGAGGGTATGTGTGACAGTGTGTGTGACAGTGTGTGGGGGGGGAGGGTATGTGTGACAGTGTGTGTGACAGTGTGTGGGGGGGGAGGGTATGTGTGACAGTGTGTGTGACAGTGTGTGGGGGGGGAGGGTATGTGTGACAGTGTGTGTGACAGTGTGTGGGGGGGAGGGTATGTGTGACAGTGTGTGACAGTGTGTGTGTGGGGGGGGGGGTGAGGGTGTGTGTGACAGTGTGTGTGTGGAGGGGTGAGGGTGTGTGTGACAGTGTGTGTGTGGAGGGGTGAGGGTGTGTGTGACAGTGTGTGTGTGTGGAGGGGTGAGGGTATGTGTGACAGTGTGTGTGTGTGTGTGACAGTGTGTGTGTGTGGAGGGGTGAGGGTATGTGTGACAGTGTGTGTGTGTGTGTGTGTGACAGTGTGTGGGGGGGGGAGGGTATGTGTGACAGTGTGTGTGTGTGGGGGGGGGGCAGTGTGTGTGACAGTGTGTGTGTGGGGGGGGTGAGGGTGTGTGTGACAGTGTGTGTGTGTGGGGGGGGGTGACAGTGTGTGTGACAGTGTGTGTGTGTGTGTGGGGGGGGTGAGGGTGTGTGTAACAGTGTGTGTGTGGGGGGGGTGAGGGTGTGTGTGACAGTGTGTGTGTGGGGGGGGTGAGGGTGTGTGTGTGTGTGGGGGGGGGTGAGGGTGTGTGTGACAGTGTGTGTGTGTGGGGGGGTGAGGGTGTGTGTGACAGTGTGTGTGTGTGCGGGGGGGGTGAGGGTGTGTGTGACAGTGTGTGCGTGGGGGGGGGTGAGGGGGTGTATGACAGTGTGTGTGTGGGGGGGGACAGTGTGTGTGTGTGTGTGTGGGACAGTGTGTGTGTGGGGGGGTGAGGGTGTGTGTGACAGTGTGTGTGTGGGGGGGTGAGGGGGTGTGTGACAGTGTGTGTGTGGGGGGGGTGACAGTGTGTGTGACAGTGTGTGTGTGGGGGGGGTGACAGTGTGTGTGACAGTGTGTGTGTGGGGGGGGGTGAGGGGGTGTGTGACAGTGTGTGTGTGTGGGGGTGAGGGGGTGTGTGACAGTGTGTGTGTGGGGGGGGGTGAGGGTGTGTGTGACAGTGTGTGTGTGGGGGGGTGAGGGGGTGTGTGACAGTGTGTGTGTGGGGGGGTGAGGGGTGTGTGACAGTGTGTGTGTGGGGGGGTGAGGGGGTGTGTGACAGTGTGTGTGTGGGGGGGGGTGAGGGGGTGTGTGACAGTGTGTGTGTGGGGGGGTGAGGGGTGTGTGACAGTGTGTGTGTGGGGGGGGTGAGGGGGTGTGTGACAGTGTGTGTGAGGGGGGGTGGGGTGAGGGGGTGTGTGACAGTGTGTGTGTGCGGGGGGGGTGAGGGTGTGTGTGACAGTGTGTGTGTGTGTGTGTGTGTGACAGTGTGTGTGTGTGGGGGGGGACAGTGTGTGTGACTGTGTGTGTGGGGGGGGTGAGGGTATGTGTGACAGTGTGTGTGACAGTGTGTGTGTGGGGGGTGACAGTGTGTGTGACAGTGTGTGTGGGGGGGGGTGAGGGTATGTGTGACAGTGTGTGTGTGGGGGGGTGGACAGTGTGTGTGACAGTGTGTGTGTGGGGGGTGAGGGTGTGTGTGACAGTGTGTGTGTGGGGGGTGAGGGTGTGTGTGACAGTGTGTGTGTGGGGGGGTGAGGGTGTGTGTGACAGTGTGTGTGTGGGGGGGTGAGGGTGTGTGTGACAGTGTGTGTGTGGGGGGTGAGGGTGTGTGTGACAGTGTGTGTGTGGGGGGTGAGGGTGTGTGTGACAGTGTGTGTGTGGGGGGTGAGGGTGTGTGTGACAGTGTGTGTGTGGGGGGTGAGGGGGTGTGTGACAGTGTGTGTGAGGGGGGTCAGGGTGTGTGTGACAGTGTGTGGGGGGGGTGAGGGGTGTGTGACAGTGTGTGTGGGGGGGTGTGAGGGTGTGTGTGACAGTGTGTGTGTGGGGGGGTGAGGCAGTGAGTGACGGCAGCACGTGACCGCGGGGAGGGAGGAGTCGGAGAGAATAAGAGCGCGCGGAGCGGCAGTTGGTCAGTGCTCGTCCCGACTTCAGCGGCGACACAGAGAGTCAGTCCGACACCTCCGTACAGACAGGTGAGGGCGGCTCACACTCACTCACACTCAGGTGAGGGCGGCTCACACTCACTCACACTCACTCACACACAGGTGAGGGCGGCTCACACTCACTCACACTCACTCACACACAGGTGAGGGCGGCTCACACTCACTCACACACTCACACACTCACTCACACTCACTCACACACACAGGTGAGGGCGGCTCACACTCACTCACACACAGGTGAGGGCGGCTCACACTCACTCACACTCACTCACACACAGGTGAGGGCGGCTCACACTCACTCACACTCACAGGTGAGAGCGGCTCACACTCACACACACACACTCACACACACACAGGTGAGGGCGGCTCACACTCACTCACACTCACTCACACACACAGGTGAGGGCGGCTCACACTCACTCACACACACACACTCACACACACACAGGTGAGGGCGGCTCACACTCACTCACACTCACTCACACACACAGGTGAGGGCGGCTCACACTCACTCACTCACACACACACAGGTGAGGGCGGCTCACACTCACTCACACTCACTCACACACACACACAGGTGAGGGCGGCTCACACTCACTCACACACACACTCACTCACACACAGGTGAGGACGGCTCACACTCACTCACACACACACACTCACTCACACACAGGTGAGGGCGGCTCACACTCACTCACACACACACACTCACTCACACACAGGTGAGGGCGGCTCACACTCACTCACACTCACTCACACACAGGTGAGGGCGGCTCACTCACACTCACTCACACACACAGGTGAGGGCGGCTCACACACTCACACTCACTCACACACAGGTGAGAGCGGCTCACACTCACTCACACTCACTCACACACAGGTGAGGGCGGCTCACACTCACTCACACACAGGTGAGAGCGGCTCACACTCACACTCACTCACACACACAGGTGAGGGCGGCTCACACACTCACACTCACTCACACACAGGTGAGAGCGGCTCACACTCACTCACACTCACTCACACACACAGGTGAGGGCGGCTCACACTCACTCACACACACACACTCACTCACACACAGGTGAGGGCGGCTCACACTCACTCACACTCACTCACACACAGTGACGGGCTCTCACACTCACTCACACACAGTGACGGGCTCTCACACTCACACACACTGACGGGCTCTCACACTCACACACACACAGGTGAGAGCGGCTCACACTCACTCACTCACTCACACACACACAGGTGAGGGCGGCTCACACTCACTCACTCACACACACACAGGTGAGAGCGGCTCACACTCACTCAAATACCGACTCACACACTCGCTCCCTGACACACTCAGAGGTTGGCGCTGACCAGGAGAGTGATGTGAGAGGCTGTTTCTGCGTGAATTCCAAACTCTACCCTCTGTCTGTCTGTCTGTCTCTGTGCCCGTCTCGGTGCCCGTCTCTGTCTGTCTGTCTCTGTCTGTCTGTCTGTCTCGGTGCCCGTCTCGGTGCCCGTCTCTGTCTGTCTGTCTGTCTCTGTGCCCGTCTCGGTGCCCGTCTCTGTCTGTCTGTCTCTGTCTGTCTGTCTGTCTCGGTGCCCGTCTCGGTGCCCGTCTCTGTCTGTCTGTCTGTCTCTGTCTGTCTGTCTGTCTCGGTGCCCGTCTCGGTGCCCGTCTCTGTCTGTCTCTGTCTGTCTGTCTGTCTCGGTGCCCGTCTCGGTGCCCGTCTCTGTTTGTCTGTCTCTATCTGTCTGTCTGTCTCGGTGCCCGTCTCTGACTGTCTGTCTCTGTCTGTCTGTCTGTCTCGGTGCCCGTCTCGGTGCCCGTCTCGGTGCCCGTCTCTGTCTGTCTGTCTCTGTCTGTCTGTCTGTCTCGGTGCCCGTCTCGGTGCCCGTCTCGGTGCCCGTCTCTGTCTGTCTGTCTCTGTCTGTCTGTCTCTGTCTGTCTGTCTGTCTCGGTGCCCGTCTCGGTGCCCGTCTCTGTCTGTCTGTCTCTGTCTGTCTGTCTGTCTCGGTGCCCGTCTCCGTGCCCGTCTCGGTGCCCGTCTCTGTCTGTCTGTCTCTGTCTGTCTGTCTGTCTCGGTGCCCGTCTCGGTGCCCGTCTCGGTGCCCGTCTCGGTGTCTGTCTCTGTCTGTCTGTCTCGGTGCCCGTCTCGGTGCCCGTCTCGGTGCCCGTCTCTGTCTGTCTGTCTCTGTCTGTCTGTCTCGGTGCCCGTCTCGGTGCCCGTCTCTGTCTGTCTGTCTCTGTCTGTCTGTCTGTCTCGGTGCCCGTCTCTGTCTGTCTGTCTGTCTCTGTCAGCCAGTCAGGAGCAGAGGCAGGAGAGAGAGAGAGAGAGAGAGAAGCAACCGAGCAGCTCACCAGGAAATAAAAAAGTGATGTCTTGCCAACTACTAACTAACTACTAATTAACTAATGTTGTTGTGTGTTGTGTGAGGACTGTAACATGTGGCAGTTGCCGGAGGGCAGTCTGAGCCCGGGCGACCACATCTGCAGCAAATATCTGCAACTGAGGCAGCTCCAGCTCAGGGTGTCTGAGCTGCAATCCGAGGTGCAGACATTGCGCAGCATCGGGGACAGTGAGTGCTTCCTGGATAGTTTCATCCTGGAGCCAGTCACTCCTCCGAGGCTCAGGGAATGTATAGATAATAGTATCAGTCAAGGACGGGATAGGGTGTCTGACAGGTAGGAGGTTAAGGGACCACCAGGGAGAGTGGTAGTGAAGCCTCAGGCTTTAACCTTGGCCAACAGGTACGAGATCCTTGCAACCTGTGTGGACAAGGAAGCCTGTGAGGAGGGAGGAAAACGTGATTCCTATATTAGGGGAAACAAACAGAAAGTTGTATTAATTGCGGATGAGACTATCAGGCGGACAGGTACATTTATCTGGAGCCGCAACCAGGAGACCCGAAGGCTCTGTTGCCTTCCTGGGACCAGGGTGAAGGACGTCTCGGCGGGGCTGGAGGAGAATCTAAAACAGGTGCCGCATAAAAGGTTGATCCACAAGATTAGGGCCCATGGAATTAAGGGGAATATATTAACATGGATTGAAGAATGGCTAACGGGAAGAAAACAAAGAGTAGGGATAAACAGGTCCTTCTCAGATTGGCGGGATGTGACTAGTGGAGTGCCACAAGGATCAGTGCTTGAGCCTCAACTATGTCCAATCTACATCAACGATCTGGATGAGGACATCGAACTTGATCTATCCAAATTCGCGGATGACACTAAACTAGGAGGGAGAATAAACACTGACTGTGAGTTCAAAGTCCCAAGTGAAAATTTCCATAAGTATGAATGGGCATGCCTTTTTGGTTGGTCAATAAAATTTCTTGATTGAATATTTCTGGATGAATTGAGCTCCAGGCAAAAGCTATTCTTTCAACATTCTGTTGGTTGGAATCAGTATTGCAGTACATGCAATCTGAGAAGTTTGATCTGCCCTCACAACAACAAGATTATATTTGTGTAGCACTTTTCACGTCGGGAGGACGTCCCAAGGCGCTGGACAGTGTACAGCATTTCAGACCTGAGCTGGGGTCAGGGGGGAGAATGGAAGGGGGAGTGACAATGGCATGGTCAAAGAGGAGGGTTTTGAGGCGGGACTTGAAGGAGGCTAAGGAGGGGATGAGGTGGCAATGGTGGAGTGGGACGTGGAGCCGGCTGAGCGGAGTGAGCAGGCGGGTTGGTAAGGGGTTAGGAGGTCGCAGAGGTAGGGTGGGACCATTGAGAGCTTTGTAGGTGAGGACCAGGATCTTGAACTGGATCCTCTGAAGAATAGGGAGCCAATGGAGTCGGGCGAGAATGGGGAGATGGGGGGGTCACTGAGTTTGGTGCGGGAGAGGATACGGGCTGCAGAGTTCTGGATTATCTGCAGCCTGTGGAGGGAGGAGTGGGGAAGGCCGACAAGCAGAGCATTTGCATAGTCGAGTAGGAGATGATGAAGACATGAACAAGAGTTTCAGTGGTCTGAGGGGTGAGGTAGTGGCGGAGTCGGGCGATGTTATGGAGGTGAGAGAAGGCAGAGCAGGTCATGGCTTGGATATGGGGAAGAAAAGACAGTTGAGGGTCGAACAAGACACCGAGGTTCCTGACTGGCTGGTGAGTTGAAGTGTGCAACCATGGAGGTTGATGCTGCCAGAGCCTGAGGCGCTGGCGCGAGCCAATCAAGAGGGCCTCAGTCTTGTTCACATTCAACTGTAGAAAGTTTGCCCTCACCCAGGACTTGATGTCTGACAGGCAGTCTGTCAGGACAGCAGTGGTCCTGGAGTTGAGGGTGAAGGCAGAAAGATAGAGTTGGAAGTTGACCCCATGTCTGTGAATGATGTCACCAAGGGGAAGTATGTAGATATTAAAGAGGAGAGGGCCAAGGACAGAGCCTTGGGGGACGCCAGATGTGACAGTGCGGGGACTGGAGGAGAAACCGTTAGAGGCAACAAAGTGGAGATGGTGAGAGAGATAGGAATCGAACCAGGCAAGGCCAGGTCCGCGAAGATTAAGTAAGGAGGAGAGGCGGTGTATGAGGATGGAGTGGTCGACAGTGTCGAAGGGCAGAGAGGTCGAGGAGGACAAGGAGGCAGAGAGAGCCCTGATCACAGATGTTCAGAATGTCATCAGTGACTTTGATCAGGGCTGTTTCCGTGCTGTGGGCAGCATGGAAGCCGGATTGGAGAGGTTCAAAGAGAGAATAATAAGAGAGAAAGGAGCGGAGCTGGGATGCGATGACTCGTTCCAGGACCTTGGAAAGGAATGGGAGGTTAGAGTTGGGGCCGTGGATGGAGAGTAGGGATGGGTCCTCATGAAGAGGAAGCTGAGATACTGGAGGGGTTTGTGCAGGAAGAAGAAAGAGCATAACTGGGAAACATGACTTGCTCCAATACCTTGGAGAGAAGAGGGAGGATGCAGATGGGGATGTAGTTAAGTAACAGTTTTTTGAGGAGGGCGGTGATGACAGCTGTTTTGAAGGGCTGGGAACTGTGCCGATCAACTAAGAGAGGTTGATAATATCTAAGACCATAAGACGTAGGAGCAGGAGTAGGCCATTCGGTTCCTTGAGCCTGATCTTCTAACCTAATTCCATTTACCCACCCTATCCCCATATCCCTTAATCCCTCTATCCTTTAGAAATATTATCAACCTCAGTCTTGAATATGTTCAAGGACTGAGCATCCGCAACCTTCTGGATAGAAAATTTCACAAATTCGCTACCCTCTGAATGAAGAAATGTTTCCTCAACTCAGTTTCCTCAACTCATACCCTTAATCTTGAGACTAGGACTCCTAGTTTTAGATTCTCCAACAGTCTCACGGCATCTACCCTGTTAAGACCCTTAAGGATCTTATAGGTTTCTATAAGATCACCTCTAATTCTTCTATATTCTAGAGAATATAGGCCTAGTTTACTCAACATCTATTAAAAGGGGGGGGTGGGGTGCAGGGAGGTGTACCTGGGAGGTCAGGAGACGATAGTGACAAGGGAACACTTGGTGGACTTTATTCGGGAATTGATGGAGGAGAGAGAAGAGGTAGAGTCAGGATTGAAAGTGTGCAGGGAGAGATGGGTGGAGGCCAGAGAGGGAGGTAGCAGAGCGGATCCTCTTGATTTTGGACTCAAAGCAGTCCATCATCTCACATTTGGAGTTGAGGATAAGGGGGCAAAGGAGCTAGTTTGTGGTGGAGAAGAGGAGCCAGGGGTTGCCCTTGGTCTCGAGGTGCCTTAAGGCAGGATGATTTTGGAGTCGAAGAAAGAGTAAGCTAGGTTAATAATAAAAAATCCATGCATTTGATATTGACCCTTATCACGTCTTCGAGACGTCTCAAAGTGCTTCACAGGTTATACTGCAAAGTGAATTGACTATACTTTGTGGGCAAAACACAGCAGCCAATTGCACATAGTAGTGTGCGACAAATGTAAGATAGGTATAATATTTTGATTATGAATTTCCAACAATTTTCTAATGGGTCAAATTTGATGTCAACCTGATTCACTTGGTAGCACATTCTACCTGAGTCAAAAATTTGTGATTTCAAAGCGCCACATTTGCACAAATTGGCTATTGCATTTACTTAAAAAAAATGCGCAGTCAATACATTTCACATAGTAAATCCTGCAATGTGCTTTGAGACATCCTCCCGACATGAAAGATGCTGTATCAAATGCAAAGATTATTATTATTATTATTGGTAATGTTACTTCTTCTGATTGACTTGCTATGCATTTCCAGTATTCTTTCTGTTAGGATTTTCAGAATCCTAATAACTTATTTTAACATCTTGTTCTTGTATCACTCTTCCAGTCTTCACCAAAGTAGCTTTAACTGATTTTTTTTTTAAATTCACAGCAATTCAATGTCGCAGTCTAAAGGAACAGTTGTCCTTGCCTACAGTGGCGGATTGGACACTTCATGTATTCTGGTTTGGCTGAAGGAACAAGGATATGAAGTCATTGCATATCTGGTAAGAAATCGTGGCGTGTACTGATTGAACAATTTTGAATTATTTAGCTTATGACTTGAGCCCACGAGCAATTCAACTAGTCATGCTCAAAATTTATTGTAAGAAAATTTATGATTTTATTTATAAAATAGAGACCAACCTTTGCCATTAGAACTAGACCCATAATGGAGATGACAGATTTGGAACTGTTCTGATGTCTTTTCATCTGTCTTTGTCTCTATACAGTACCTGTATCAAAGTACTTTACCTCAGTTTTACTTGGGAAAAATCCTTGTGTTGCATTTCTTGCTCATAATGACAACAATTTTGAGCCTGAATTTCTCGGGCCAGTGCTGTTAAGAGGTCATGGGGTAATGCAATTTGCAGATATACTGCGCCCTTCTGTCATAGTACAACAACAAAATTACATTTGTAAAGTGCCTTTCACGTCGGGAGGACGTCCCAAGGCGCTGGACAGACAGTTATGGACCCGAGCTGGGGGTCAGGGAGGGTGGAGGGCAGGGGGGGAAGCGGAGAGATTGAAAGCATCAAAGAGGAGGGTCTTGAGATGGATCTTGAAAGTGGGAAGGGAGGAGGTGAGGCAGAGGGACTGCGGGATGAAGTTCCAGAGGGTGGGGGCATGAAGCAGGCCAGCCTGCTGAGCGGAGGGAGTGGGCAGGATGGTGGGTTGGGAGGTTGCAGAAGTAGTGGGGAGCAAGACCATGGAGGGCTTTGAAGGTGAGGACCAGGATCTTGAATTATATCCTCTGTGTGATGAGAAGCCAGTGGAGTAGAGCAAAGATGGGGGTGATAGGGTCACAGAGCCTATTGTGTGAGAGGACACAGGCTGCAGAGTTCTGGATGATCTGCAGCCTGTGGAGGGAGTAGTTGGCCGACAAGCAAACAGTTTGCATAGTTGATGTAATGAAAGCATGAATGAGGGCTTCGGCGGCCTGCGGGGTGAGACAGTAGCGGAGCTGAGCTATGTTGCGGAGGTGGGGGAAGGCAGAGGGGGTCATGGCCTAGATGTGGGGTAGCAGACTTCTGGATGTCTATTTTTCAAATCGTAGGAATTCTCCCACCCAACCATCTGCTCAGATGCTTCTAGGAGCTGGAAATTTAAAATCATATGTTTTGCATTTCTCTGCCCAGTCCATTAATCTGTGTCCCCCTGAAGTTGCTTACAATCTTCACTGTTAGCTAAACTCTATTTTTGTGTTACTGACTATTATATTCATGCCCTCTTGTTTTGGGCTCGCCAAGTGGAAACAGCCTATTAACGTCCACTTTATCAAATTCTTTCATAATCTTAGATACCTTGTTCAGGTTCTCTGTCATCTCAATTCTACAGAGAAAAGTTCTAACCTGTCCAAGCTTTCCTGATCACTGTATCCACTCATCTCTGGGAACATTCTTGTAAATCTATGTTGTACTCTCTCCACTCCTTCCTGCAATATGGTGACCAGAATTACATCCAGTATTTTTTCTTTTTCATTCAAACATGTGAAACATGTAGGGCAGGATGAGGCTTTCTACCAGTACTCCAAATGTGGTTAACCCAACCGTTTATATATTACTTCCCCACTTTTGTACTATTGTCTACTTCCCAGACCTTTTTTGTTGGAAATGAACAATTCTGGGAACATTAATGATCTCGTACTAATTAATTTCTGTTGGTTCCATTCTCTTAAATAATTAAGACAGAATTAAGAAACTATGGACAAATAATTATATTTTTCTTTTTCGTGCAAACAGGCTAATGTAGGACAGGAGGAGGATTTTGAAGCTGCTCAAAAGAAGGCTCATGCTCTGGGAGCTAAAAAGGTAAAAATTCTCCAAACATTTCATTCCAGATGTCATTGTGAAGTTGTAGTGCGAGGACTGGCACTTGAACGTGGAGAAGCAAAGTTGCTGTGAGCTGATGTGACTTGATAAAATCAGAAATGAAAGTTCAGCCTCTTTTCACCTCTCCTTCCTTTGCCTTAGCCTGCCACCCTGAGGATAACTTGTGGGACTCTATGTTGCCAATCCAACTGAGATCAGTTAACAAATGCAGTTTAGTTTGGAGATCAAACCTAGGATTTTTCTGTCTGTACAGCTTAGTTTCATTCTAGACAGTGGCTTTACAACTGAGCCATTGTGGGGGCAGGGGCAGTCAGGTTAATTTATTTTATACAATGGAGCATTTACAAAATCACAGCACTTTACTTTGTGAAGGGCTTTGAGTAAAAAGCACTTTGTAAGGATCATTATTATCAGCAGGCCTCAGAGGAGCTTGCATAGTATTATGTAATAATCGTTGCATTTGATATAGCACCTTATTGAGATGTCTCAAAGCACTTTACAGGATATACTGAAATGAAGCAGCCAGTTGCACACAGTAATGTCCCAAAAGCAGCCATGGAGTGAGTGACCGATTTTGTTTGGGGTGGAGGGGGGAATTGTTGGCTAGGACACGGGGTGAAACTACCTTCTCTTTTTGAATAGCATCATGGGATCTTTATTGTCCATCTGAACAGGCACCAAAGGATTGCACCTCCGACAATGCAGCACAACCCCAGCATTGCACTGGAGTTTCAGCCTAGACCAGGGTGGTCCAATTTTTGACTGCTGAGGGCTATATGCCTTATTTGAGAAATGTCCGCCAAAGCAATATTTTTGTGTTTCCCTTCCAGAGAAATAACAGCATTTCTACAGTGCTTTTTTCAAGTCAATAGGATGTCTAAAAGCACATGACACTGCTGCCTGGGCACTCGAGCTGGGGGCATGAGCCAAGGGAGGTGGGATAGGGAGAGGAAAAGATGACCAGTCTTGATGTGCCTTGAAAAAGGGGACGCAGGGAGGGAATGGAGCACCAGAGAGTGGGGGCAAAATGGCGATGGTAGGATAGATGTAGGGGGGAGATACATGAAATAAGCTGGTGTTTGCTGGACATAGGGAACAGCTGGATTAGGCGGGTAGGGGTGGATGAAGGATGTAGAGGAGTTTCCCACTGGGGAAAGAGGGAGTTTTCTGTGTGGAAAGTCTAGATACAGATTACCAACTCACTTGGGTGGGGACTTGGATAAGATGCAGCTAGTATGCATTTGTTGCTTTACAAGCAACTTTGAGTCCACACTAAAGAATATGCAGACGGTCACATTGATTTTCGGTTTGATTTGTTTGACATTGTGTAAGATTACTGCTACGATATTTTGTGCTTTTAACAGGTTTTTATCGAAGATTTGAGGAAGGAGTTTGTTGAGGAATTTATTTGGCCCGGTGTCCAAGCAAATGCTATTTATGAAGACCGATACTTGCTTGGAACATCGCTGGCTAGACCCTGCATTGCCAGAGGCCAAGTGAAGATTGCAAAACAGGAAGGAGCTCAGTTTGTATCCCATGGAGCCACTGGCAAGGTATGTTAACTGAGTAAAGGAACAATATTTTTCCTGAAAAGATGAATGATACCTATCAGAATGTATTTGGTCACTTCTTACCAGTCAGGTCAGTGCCCTTTCAGTGACAGTGGCAGTGATTTGACTATAATTCAGATTGAAGTTCTGAAGAAGGCCCATACTGGGGGTCTGGATCGGGGAGAATGGAGGGCAGGAGGGAAAGGAGGGTGATATTAGTGGAGGGTAGAGGACAGGGGTGGGAGCATTTTGGGGAAGTAGCTTGGGTCGGTGGCGGCAGCCAAAATGCACACGTCAAGACTAAGCAAACGGGGAAGGTGAGGGCAGAGCGATTTCTGATTGGATATTGACTGAGAGAGTCAGCAATGGCGTGGCAGTGAATCTAGTTGTTTAAGATGTTTCTCCCAATTCTGACTGAAAATTGCTGTCATTTATGTCCATTCCTGTGGATAGTAGGACTGGGGAAGAAGGCATCAGAATAATCAAGTCGATATCAACAACACACATTATCAAATCAATACTCGGGACAGGAGTCACCAGCTGGTGGCAGTGCTGTATAACATTTACACTTAAATCCTGGTTAGTTGGACCAAATTTGGGAGTGGAGTGGGCAAGAGATCCAGTCCGGCGAGCTGGATTTCATTAATGGGTTAATAGGTTAGTAAAATCCAATCTCTTCTGTGCTAAATGAGCTACTCTCAACCTTAGGTGTGTTGTAGTTGGCCTCAGGGACCCTGGGGTGATTAGGGTAAAACAAGATTTAGGGATGAACTCCTTATTTATATCCCTGGAAAAAGATTTAATTACTAAATTTTTTTTTATTATTCTAAACCACTCGTTCTAAATGTATCTGGATTTATTAACCCAAGTCCTGTACAGTTACCTGTGGATTTTCTGAGGCACTACAATTCAGGCTCACAATGAGAGACTAGTCATTGTTACCATTAATTAGTTAATGTTTCTAATAATATTGTCTTTCAGTTCAATGACTGGAACATTTTCTCTCTCTCTGCTAAATTCTGATAATATACTGAATGTTTTTAGAAAACCAGACATAATAAGCAATGTTTCCATCAGAGTTCCTGTTCTGTGAATGCTCTGATAAATCAATAACATTTGTGTTTTATTAACTGTTAACCATATATTTATTTTATTCAAGGGAGCCTGATTTTATGTTATGCTATTACTGCCAATAATACTTTGCCTGCTTTAAACCACGGATAGTAATGAGATTAAAGCAGTTTATCCTAAGGTAACTGTGGGTGGTTTAATGTAAAAAGCTGCTCTGAAGATCTGTAAGGCGGATATATTGTGGGGAGCAGATGGGTCTGTTTTGGCCTTCAGGAAGAAAGCCAGTTCTAATCTGCTGTTGTGCATCCACTAAAAGCAAATATACAACTGCACAGATTGGCTGGGGATTTAGGAACAAGACAATAAGGCAATTTTAGTGCTACCAATGTTATTAACCATCACTGTTGAATATCATAAATAAACCACTTGATCAGATGATGCTGTCATCTGTTATGTAGCAGATTGGTATTTTTGCTTTTCTTCTGTCTACTATAGATTGTGGAGTCCTGTAGCTCAGTGGTTAGAGCACTCGCTTTGCAAGCGAGAGACCTGAGTTCAATTCCAGACAGAGGGCGAAACCTTGGGCAAGTTTCCTTACTCCACACAGAGCCTAATAATAATCCCTCCAAAACCCAAAACAATAATAAATTGGTCATTTCAATCTACGACTGTTTGTGGGACATTGCTGTGCGCAATTGGCTGCCGCGTTCGCCCACAAATATACAGTCAATTCACTTTACAGTGTGTGCTGTGAAGCGCTTTGGATGTCCTCCCGACGTGAAAACACTATATCAAATGCAAGGATTATTATTATTATTATCAGACTAATTGAAAAATTAACTTCTGAAAAATCTGAACAAAACACCACAGCTAAAATTCAACGACAGCAATTTTCTTGAGGACATCAGATTCCTGCCGCACCTTAATCTGGAAATAAAGTCATCTTCCGAGTACCATTTGCATTTAATGTATAACGTGAGAAGAACAGGGACAGCAAATCTAATTTAAAGGAAAGACTTAAAAAAAACTTCATAATTCCCTCAAATGAAGCTTAATTTTTGAAACAAATGAAAATTTCATTTATAAAAATGAGCATTTCTCCAAGAAATAAGTGTAAAATGTAGGCTGTGGCAATGGAAACGTATTGATGGACCTGTGTTTCACATTCAGCCAGTTACTGGGGGCAGGCAGTCATCCCGCTCAGCTCCTGTTAACCCTACAAGCCAAAGTACTAATGGGTAGGGTGGTCCCAGCTGGACAAGCAGCGGGAAAGCTTGTCAGACAGCGATATCAATGGCAAGCTATGCAGTTTTAGCTGGTTAGACTCCAGCAGTATGCCAACGCACACTCTGGGGTCCCAAAGCCTTAGCTCTTGCTAACCTGCGTCTAATACTCTTTGGAATTAGGTAAACAGGATGCATCCCTCCTGAGAGAGGATTTCCATTCCAACAATCTATCTCCGGGATTTCCACGTGTAGGTGGGATGCATGGAATTCTCAGCTTGGTTTGGACACCTCTAAAGCATGGTGATCGGTTTCAACATATACCCAGTATTGGAAGGAGAGGATAAGAAAGGAAGATGAGTGAATGCAAAACTACAGAATACAACAGTGAGGGAGAAAACGTTTCAAGAATCCTTAGTGAAACTTTGTCAACTTAATCATTTTTATGTTCTAAACGGTGCATTAAGTTGCACGGGTTTCTAAGTCGCAGTTTGGTCACAAGATTGGTTCGGATCAAGAAGTCCTTTGGCCCTAATCTGATCTCATTGCTCCCAAAACACCCATTCTCCATCACAGCACCGAGCTGCTTTTCAAATATCCTTTGCGGTAACCGGTTCTAGTTATTAATTCCGCTCTGGGTAAAGATAAACTTCCTGGGGTCTGTCCTGAAATTGCCCTCTAAACCTATGTCCTCTAGTTGTACTGTCTTGGTGAATCCTAAAGTATTATTCTGGGTTTACTTTTACAACCCTATGTAAAATATTACACACTTCTATGAAGTTGTCTCTCAAGACTGAAGAGCCTCTCTAGTCATTGCTCAGATTTTTACTCCTGCACAGAATTTTTAAATTCAAGTAATTTAAAATGTCGTTCAGCAGTTTGTAATCACACTCCAAGATTACAACAGCCTTTTCATGAAAGTATATATTTGCTTTTACTGTGGGCAGCCTTCCTAGTGTTCTAAGTGTTTTCTTTTTCTTTCCAGGGAAATGATCAGATCCGTTTTGAGTTGACTTGCTATGCGCTGTATCCTGATGTTAAGGTAGAACATTTTTTGGAATAAATGTGTTTTTACCATATTTTTTAGTTCTGTGATCTGAAGGTTGAAGTAATGACATTTTTGCGTTAAAAATCAAACTACAAATTCAGTTTGAGGTTGAAATTTAAGATAGTGTAATTGGGTTTCCTATAATCTAATCTATGCAAGTACAAATGACTCCCTCTTGGATCATTCTGTTGCCCTCAACACAATCAATCACAACCACCCACCTCGATTGCCTTGTTTCCCTCATCTACCTGGTTCAAGTCTTACTTGACCCTCTGCCATCATTCGGAAACTCACTCCTCAAAGTGTTTCTCCTTCCACCCCTGCACAGTCATCTGCAGGGTACCCAAGGCTCTATCTTCCCCCACCTCCTTTTTTCCATTTACATGCTCCCTCTCAGTGATGTCATCCGCAGACATGGGGTCAGCCTCCACATGTGGGCTGTGAGGTAAGAGCAGATTAGTGGAATCAGTTGGTAGCTCTTCCAAAGCGCAGGCACAGTGGGCTAAATGGCTTTCTTCTACACTGTAAGATTCTGTATAATTATTATAAATCCACACTCCCACCACTCTCTGTGTGGGGAAAAAGTAATACAAAGACACTTGTGAAAGGCCAGTCTCCCTCACGACTAATTTGATTACCTAAAGATTCTTGTATTGCAGAACTCTGACTCTTGTACATGTTATTCTGTATGTTGATTGCAGATCATCTCCCCATGGCGGTTACCAGAGTTTTTCAATCGATTCTTGGGACGCAATGACCTGATGGAGTATGCAAAGGTTGGTTTGAAATATTTGTTTAGAAATGCTGATATTTTAGTATTGCCGTTTGCGCAGTCCCGCTTTAAATTTTAACTTATTAGCTTTTCATTTTTAACGTAACTTATTTCCATTTGTGGAGCTAGTGAGCGCATTGCTAATGTGCTGGGATGATAATAATAATCCTTACATCCTTATATAGTGCTTTATCACGTCTTCGAGACGTCTCAAAGCCTTTCACAGAATATTCTGTAAAGTGAATTGACTGTATGTTCTGTGGATGAAACGCAGCAACCTTAGCAATGTCACTATCTGATAATTTCACTGCTTATTTTGGCTGGCAGGCGTGTTTTAGTTACATGGACAGATTGTAATTTCTGCAAACTGAATCACGAGAAGATTTATGTTGTATTATTATCGTTATTGAATGGTACAGGGAAATATAATTTATGTGCATTGAAATAGTAGTGCAATATAACGTTATGAAAAATCAAATCGCCCATAGTTAAATGGAAGACTTAAATAAATAATGTAAAATTCAATTTGGCAATATTCATGAATCTGTTTATGTGACATGATATTCTTCCAAAATGGGTTTTGAATCTTAAGAATTCTATGTTTTTTGTTGTGTGTAAATGACCACAAGAGGGCACTCAGTACCTTTGTGATGCTCACCACAGCATTACCAAGAAATCATTTGCAATAGATTTATTGAGATTCTATTAACAGTGTAAATTCTAACCTCATTTTTATTTTGGAAAAAAGTTAATATTAAGGGGATATAATTACTTGTAGAACCCACTGTGTGTACCTTTTAAGGAATCCTCATTGTATTGACTTTTTAAAATGAAATTGTTACAAAGAGTTTAAGATTAAGGTTGTTCGTGATTTATCAATTTTCCCTTTTTGGGCCTATAATTTGCGATTATTTCTGAATGGAATAGGGCAGGAGTAGGCCTTTCAGCCCCTTGAGACTGTTCCACCATTCTATTAGATCATGGCTTTCTTAATGACCAAGCCAGATTCCTCAAACAGAAACAAATCTCAGATACGGTCCACTTCCAGAGTGGAATTCACGCAGGTCTTCGGGAGTGAAGTGCTTGGGGTCTCTCATATCTAGCTGTTCTTTGATATTAAAGGAGATCAACTTCATGAAGTTGCTGCTCTATTGACTAAGTTAAATAATAATAATCTTTGCATTTGATATAGTGCTTTATCACATCTGCGAGACGTCTCAAAGCATCTCACAGATTGTACATTAACTGACTATATTTTGTGGTCGAATAAAGGTACATTTGAATAGGAAATCCCATTCGACTTGTACCAAATGTTTTGTTTAATGAAACGCACTTACTAATTCTGGAATGTTATGACCTTTTTACAGGCAGCCAGAAATCTTAATTGCTCTTGTCTGTCCTATACTATGACCATATACTGGTCACTGTTTTTAGCCTTCATTGCAAGGTAGACCCCAAATTAGTTTGGTTACTACTTTAGTGATGTACTGCAAACATACCTTTTCTGTTGTCAAACCTGGCCACTGGTTTACAATCAAGTTTCCTGAAGTAGCTTTGATAAATTCCTGCTAAGTTTAAGTTGTAAATAAATTTTGATCGTGACATATTATGGCTGCAGTAACAGCTTAGGATCACAAGGGGGCACACAAGGTTTTTGTGAGAAAAGTGGAATTTGTATGAAGATTGAACTATGATAGAAGAGGATTGGAAGGAGCGGAGATGACAGAAGCTCTGATTATATAGAGCAAAGCTATTTCCCACCCATCAAATTCCTATATTCAGAATTTTAATCTTTTCATAAATAACAAATGTTATTTTTAAAAATGTGCTTGGGTGGGTATGAAAAACTCAGTTCAGAGGACAATAAACCACTCTTGGTTTTTGGTATGACGTCCGAATCCTTGAATGCAATTATTTTCTTGTAATCGCTCCCACTGAGCTTCTCTTTACACCGTGGGCTGCTTTGTTCAGGTGCAATCACATGAGTGATGTAGGATTTTTGCTGATCTATTTAAAGCCCTCCTATGGCTCTCAGCAGAATATGCTGAATGAATGTTATTTCCTTTTCATCTGCATTCTACAAAACGTCCTGTGCTAAATGACAAACGTTCACTCTGTAACCACACAGCCAACAATTAAACTAACGGTTTAAAGCGATCATTGGAGACACAATAACTTTTTGGCTGTTGAGAAAACATACAAAATCTGATTGTTTCTCAAATTGTATCAGCTAGATGAAATGGTCTTTCCATCCTATACAATCCTATTTCACAATATTTTGCAATCGATCTGTCTCACTATTGTTACTGTTTACTGAAATAAGCTCCAAGGTGTATACTCGCATAAGTCTGATCTGTAGGGGGAGGGTGGTGAGAGAGAGTGGTGGGGGGTGGTGAGAAAGAGGAGGTGGGGGCGCGCGCGAGAGAGGTGAGGGGGAAGGGGATAAGCGGAGAGAATGATTGAGTTTATCGTGAGGCATCAATTTAAGAGAAGTAACAAAAGGAGTGATTAGGAGGAGCATTTTACACAAATGTTTAGGATGTGAAATTTCGGGTGCAGTGGTCAAGACAGAATCCTTATTAGATTTTAAGAGGGAAGTATAAATAGAGTAACTTGCAGGATTATGGGGGAAAAACAGGTTAATGGGACTACAATTGTTAGTACACTGTACAGAATATCCTGTAAAATGCTTTAAGATGTTTTGTTGATATAAGATGCTATATCAAATGCTAGGATTTAGTATTATAAGTTGCAAATTCCTTGCACTTAATCTCTTGACTCGTTCTACTTCACTAGTTGTTGAGGTCAAAAATACTGAACTACAAAACATTTCTTCATCTCCAGTATTGTAGACAATCCAGAAACATAGCTGTCAGCAGAAGATGGACAAGAAAAGGAGCTAAAAGAGCATAGAATATTTCACAAAGATAGACCTAAGCTAGACTGAGGAGTGGCTTTATTGGTAAAGGATGATATAACAGGTGTCAATGCAACAGCAGATGGTGAGATAGGAGAAGCAGTTTCGGAGAAAAAATAGCAAAGGTAAGAAAGAAATAACTAGTGACTCTTTGTGATAGTTTACTCCAGGTGATTGATGAGTTTAGGCGAGTACACTAAATGCACAAAATAATCTTGAATATGATTTTAGTGCAAGCGAGATTGGTATCAATACAAGGGATATGGATAAATTAAGTGGTATGTGAGGAGATGCAACATTAAATTTTAACGTGGTTATTAAACTGAAAAAGGGACATTATCCAGGTCTTTAAAATATTAGAATGCATAAATGCAAGTTATTTATCTTTAAATTAGTGTTAACAAAACAAATTCAGAATTAACATTAAACTATGAAAGGTGATGAACGTGTGTAACGTCTACATCATATAGAAAATAATATCTTCTATTTCTGTGCTCGCTCGTTGCCCTGAGGTAGTGGCTTAGCCAAAACAATCATTGATTATTTATGAAACAGTGGATATTAAGATTTAACTTTCCAGAAATCAATAAGCATGTGTTAATAAACATGGGAATTAGCATCTAGCTGAAGGGCAGTGAAAGCATAGAAGTCCTGACATTGTGCTGCACTTTTGCAAACAGCCAGCTTGTGTTATCTAAAGAGGCCGAAATATCTTTCATCCAATTTGTATTCACATTCCCCCCCCGCCCCCCCCCCCCCCCCACACACACACACACACACACACACGCGCACTGGCCACTCTCCCATTCATTGACTGTAAAGACCATTCTAACTTACAATTCAAAATGTTCCTTATTTTAAAATGAACGGAGCAACTGAATTAAACTGACTATATTAACTTGTCATTGGGGGTTATCCATTTTCTGGCTATCCATTTCCTAACTATCTGCAAACATGCATTGCCAAATTCGATCCCTTACTGAGCTACAGTCATGTCAGTTTGACTCCATAGAGTGCCAAGTAGTGATTTAATAATCACACCAAAGATACATGACAACTTTTGGATAAGTGAACAGTGGAAGTTGCTCCTTTCTGCTAAATCTGAACATCAGACAGTGTTCACCCAGACCTTGTCCACACCAGACCTGAGACCACCTCCTTAGGGCTGCCCCCCCTGTGCTAATGATAACAGCCATTGATGCTAAAAGGCACTGAATGAAAAAACAACCTCTTGAAACCTAATGAACCATTCGATGGCTTGACTGCTCAAGCATTAACAATTACTCCATCTTCCTGTGACATGAAGAAGACACTTTGTAACAGTGGGCAACCTGTTGACACCACTCAGGACTGATTCAAACCTGCTCCAGGCAAAAACAACCCGAGCAGGTAACAGCATAAACCCCTCATTTTATTATTGACTAAAATAATACACAACTACATTTGCCCAACTCATTAACCATTAATGATCTTTATCCTCTCTGGGAAAAATCTATAGGATGTTATTGACAGTGGTAATTTATTGCAGGGTGAGTGCGAACGGTGATTCTGGGTGAGTCGCATCAGATTCTTTCACACTGCTTTCCCGTGGCCAGTTTGCTGTCAGGTGCTGTTACCTGGTGCCACATGCACCAACGAGAGGGGTGGTTTCCTTACTACTTTGTTGGTGTCAGTACCTCTCATGCTCAAACCGGATGATCCGATAAAGCCGACTATTTCTCTTATTAGGCAGGACTGTTTTGTACCCAGAATCCACGCTAATTTCTGCTTGAGTGCATTTCACCATGAAAATGCACCGCAATGTTCTGGCTATATCTGCCTGATCCACCATGGGAAATATTTGCACTTTTGTCAACCAGCACAGAGGGTAAACTGGAAAAAAAACCACAAAGTGGAAAAAGTATAAAGCATAATCACAAAAAGAAGTAATAGGAATTAGCCATGGAAGTATATTTACAGGTTGTTCACAGACTGACTAATAACCAAACCTTTAATTCAGTAAGACATTTTTAAGTTAGTTTTGGTATTTTTAAAGAATGAGACAACTTACCTGGATTTGAGCTTTGATAGTTTGCCGGATTCCTGTTACAAGGACAGTCTTTGTGTGCCTTGGGGATAACTTTCAAGCTGTGAAGGTACCTATATAATCCCTGCCTCGTCAGCTGTAAAATGCACTTGTTGCTTCTGTGTTTTATTTTTGCACTGATGTGAAATATGATAACTTCTTGCAACGAAAATAGGGATCTTGAACTGAGAATAAGTAAGATTCCTGCGTGAATTGCTAGTGGGATTTTAGAAAGGTTTGGTCTGCTGGAAGACTCGTTTCAAAGTGTATGGAAAATGTACTGGAATTCTGCAAATCGAGAATGTGGTAGCTATTGTCATCCTTGGGTGAGTTTTTGATCGTGCTTGCGGTCACCTCCCCTCTTCCCCTTGCACCTGCATTAGTTATTTTCCATTTCCCACACCATCTTGTCTTTGTGACCTCTTAGTGAGACGACCAATTTAGATCTGGATTATGGATTGTAACGACCACATTCAAGTGCTTGGTGGAAAATGGGTACACCATCTGCCCATCACTGCGTTGCTATAGTAAGACGGTCCAACTGGATCTAGATTTACTCTGACTACTGACTATTTCACACTGCAAAATTTAGCAAATGGTTGAATTCAGTCTTTGAAACTGGTTCTCTATAGCAACAAGTTTCAAAATTAAGACTGCATTTAAGAATTTTCCAACTTCTGGATACTGTGAAACACTAAGAAAATTTTAGAGTGAATTTAGGTCCATGTGGAATTTTTACCTCTTAGCATGTTAAATTGCGCTAATGTGACCTGAGCCGTTCTTCTTAAAGGGGCAAGTGAAAACTATGAATTTCAGAGTAAGATGCAGGTTTTCACTAATAATTCTCCACACAGTAGCTTCTTGATCGACCACAGTGAGTTACAGAATGGTATTAATGCCTATACACATGTCTGCCTGGGGACACTGAGACTAGGGAAACCAAGAGAAAGAAAAGTGAGAATTTAAAACAAAATAGTATTCCTATTGAGAAGGTGAATAACTTTTTGAATTGTGTATGAATATAACCTCAAAAGATCTGCTGATTAAACCTGGTAAAATGGTTCTGTTTTTGTTGTGTAAAATCAATAACCTTGTAGAACATAATGTACGGTAGTTATTGCAACTCTAAGATGTAAAACTGACCGGCCACAAAAAAGGCGTAATAGACAAACTTGCTCTGAGGTTCTTTTACCTATCGGAATGGACATGAAAATTATTCATTTTTTAATTTCCGGTAAATTGAAAAATATTGGTCTTCTGGAAGGTACTGCACTTGTTGGAGCAGTGCCCAAGTGTTATTCATTACTGGAACTTGTTTTTATTTCATTTGAAAGATTCCACACTGAAACTTCCTTTCTGTCTGTGTCAGTAGCTGGTGGTTTTTTCTGCAAGACTGGGTTTTGAGAGCTGCTGGCTCTAGTCACCGGGGGTACTGTTCTGCCATGGTGATTTCAGATAATTGGGGCCAAAGTAATGAATTACTTCATAATGTTGTTTGTTATCTCTGCTTCAATGTATTGTGCGATCCAAAGGAGGAGTCAGCCTGTGGGAGGTTGGGAAATTGTATCAGTTCACAAGACTAGATACTCATCTTCTCTGAATCATGCCTTTATTTCATCCTTTTTTTCCCTCCGCCCCCCCCACCTCCCACTGTCCTTGTAAGCAGAAGGCGGTTGTCTCTTGAGAACTTTCAAGCTATTCACAGATTCTTAAAACAAAATAAAATTACCAGAAAGTACTAGAAATATTAAATTATTCAATTGAAGATTCCTCTTTAATGTACTGTGTAGTCCATTAAGTTCCCTTGAGTAATGCTTTGTTCAGTCCTTAGAGCCTGTCTGTGTAATTCAGACCATTTCTTACTAGTTTGCGCCCAGCACAGCAGTGAACCTTGAGGGGGAATTGATGAGTAGTGTGTGGCTTTTAAAGCGGGACTTAATTTAACAGCTGGAAATGGCACACGCCAAACAATTAGTCAAAACAGTCTTCCAAAAAAAGCTTCTGCCCAAGTCATTTATGCAGTTAAAGATCAGCAAAGCTAAGTTGGAAATGATGGAGAAAAAAATGAGGAGAAAATAACTAGCCGAAGCTAGGCACATAATTACAGCAGTATTTTGTTATTTTGGAGTGGGGAGGCAGTTGTCATCTCAGTATCCTATTCCAGCATTGAAATGGGCTTGTGCAAAGAGTGAGTTTCCAGAACTGGTGTAAGAGAAAATAAAATTTCACTTTTTTGAAGACCAGTTGCTCTTTAAAATGGAATGTCTTCAAAGTAAAGTACACTTGGTGTAAGACCTCATCAGAGGTCGCGTTTTTATCGGAGGTCACACTTTCAGCCACTACGCCCCAAAACTCTGGAACATTCTACCTCAACCCCTCCGCATTGCCCCCTCTCTCCCCTTTTTCAAGTCCTGCCTGAAAAGCTTCCTCTTCGACCTTGTTTATCCCCCACCCAGCCCCCTACTCGGAGTCAGGCTTCTCCACTGTTAAGCGCTCTGAGACGCTACCTTGCGTGGAGGGCGCTATATAAGTGCAAGTTGATTGTGTTTTTGCTCATTGCATCAATCATAGCAGTAACAACTTGCATTTACATAATGCCCTTCACATGGGGTAGCTTATCGGAGCGCTTACCAATGGCAGAGCCTGACGGGGGGGGTGGGGGTGGCATATTTTTTCTTTACTGTTGGATTTGATTCTGTAATGCATATGCTGAGCCTTGAGAGCAGTCAATAGAGGGCCTGAGAAATGTTTCCACATCTTAATGTATGTACTATGAAGGTCCAAACTATATAGGAATAATTTCTGCAGGAGAATTTCCCTGCACAAGTATCAATTTGTAAAACTTAATCGTTTTTATTTACATTGAGTAACCTCATACACTACCACTTAAACAAATCATAATATCTCGGAGAGATATTTTAAATAAGTATTAAGAAAATATTTACTTTTCTAAAATATTTCTATGTGCACAATTGGCTGCCGTGTTTCGCCCACAAAATATACGGTCAATTGACTCTGCAATTCTGTGAAGTGCTTTAAATCTTCACAAAGACATGTTTAGACACTATATTCAATGCAAGGATTATTATTATCAGCTGTATGTGGAAACGAGTACCAAAACTACTACTATTAATAATAATCCTTGCATTTGATATAGCGCTTTTCACGTCTTCTAGAAGTCTCAAAGCGCTTTAGAGAATATAGTGTAAAGCAAATTGACGATATTTTTGGGCGAAACGAGGCAGCCAATTGCGCACAGCATTGTCCCACAAACAGTCGAAGATTGAAGTGACCAATTTTATTATTGTTTTTCTTGACGGATTATATCTCAAACTAAGGTTTTAAAAGCTAATTAACATCCTCCCCTCTGTTCTCGCCCCCTGACCCCAGCTCGGGTCTGAAATGCTGTACGCTGTCCGGCGCCTTGGGACATCCTCCCAACGTGAAAGGCGCTATACAAATGTAATCTTGTTGTTGTTTTGTCATGTTTCACTAAATATAAAACCCTCTGGTTAATAATAAGTTACACACCTTGCAATGAACACACTGCACCATTGATGATGGACCTTGATGTCTTTGAATTTCTTTTTGGATTACAGAATCATGGAATCCCTGTTCCTGTCACTCCCAAAAGTCCTTGGAGTATGGATGCTAACCTTATGCACATCAGGTAAACTGATTTTTAATACTTGATTCATTTGAAATATTGCTGCCATCTTAATATGGATTTGTTCTTTTATGGAAAATATTGTTCCTGTTGTTTACTTCTTCAATTTGTGTTTTCCACAGCTATGAGTCTGGGATCCTGGAAAACCCCAAGGTAATAATTCATGACATTGAAATACTTCAAATATGCCATTAAGCGTATACTGTGGTTATGTGTGTGACCCATAATTTGAAATTTCATGGGGTTAGTGGGGGATGGCAAGGCCAAGTCCTGGTAGTATTATCATCTGTGTTATAGAGCTTTTTATTGCTGCTGAGATCAATGGGGAGGGAAACATTCTGTGTGACATTGTACAATGCAATGTCACATGGAAACAATAAAGAAGCAATTAGACAGATGAGCCACATTCACAGAGGAGCGCTTCAAAGTTGGCAGCTCGCAGCAGCGGTTTCTCCCATTGTGAAATGTAGAGTCTTGTTTGATCGAAGGTCATGAACCAATACAATTTCTGAAGCAGTTACAGCCAATAGGCAGGCTCTTCCATTGCCATTAGCCACTTTCACATCTTTACTGAAGGCTTTTATCTAGTTTTACTAGCATATTTATTCGTTTATATTATTGAGGGGCTAAAGCAACTGATTTTTTTTCTTAATGTTCATGTAGAATTTTTTCATGCAAATTTCTTTGCGGGAAATGTATTTCCTCCCCTTTAACTGTAAAAGGTTAAAGCTGATCTCACACGATCTAACCTAATGACTATTGATCAATATTGAACATTACCAAAAGTTTTACATACACTATGTAAAACTAAGCATGTTGCACTCCATAATCTTGTATAGCCACAGTTTAAAAAAATTAAAGGGAAGCATTTGTTTAGCACTTTGTTGTGTTTAGCACAAGCAGATGCATAGTTTATGTAAGTGATGTTATAAGTTACATTGAGGGATTTTGACAACTCCTTAAACTTTCAAAAGAGAAGTTTGTTTTTATTATTGCCTTGGACTTGGGCTGACGAGTCTTTTAAACCAATAATCAATCTTAAGGTTGACATGTTAAAAACAAGATTCTCTCTGTTGGTTTATGTAGATATCTGGAAACATACTTTTTTTTATTCAATGTTTTGTGCTGGCTAGGGATTTGCCGGGATACATCTAATTTGACAAAGTGATCTCAGGATTTATTTTATTGATTTGCTGCAAAGCCATACGCTAGCTTCTGTGCGTTACAGCATTGGCTGAACATATTACTGTTTATGTTTGCATGTAGTCTAGAGAATCCCCTGAAGTGCACTACCTCTTGGTTTAGCCATGTAATTCTATCGCATGGCAGAGCTAACTTCTGTTATGCATTCTTTATAAATAATTTATAATTTTCTAATAACTATTTAGGTATCATTACATTGCCTTTTTCAAATTTATATTCACTCCCTTCTTCTTCCTTCCAACATATCCATTCTATGGTTGAGGAATCATACTAACTTAATGTTCTAAGTGCACAGAAAAGCACAGTCCTATTTGAAAGTCTATCTTATTCAAAGGTTATGCCTTTTTATGTTGTCCCATTTCCTCCCTGTTCTTTTCTCGATTCTTTAAGGTATTGAATATTACAGGACGTTTGTGGGTTGTCTTCTAAACTTACCAACCTGTCCACTTCCTCTGCTTGGCAGACACTGAGGTGCTTTGTATCCCCTGCTCTGCCAGTCCCAGCATCGGTCGAACCTTCAGCCTTTCTGCCCACCCTCTGAAACTCCTTCCTGGAGTCGCTCCCCTCACCCCTTCTCTCTCAAGACTTTCCTCCTTGACTGTGCCTTTGGTCATCTTCCCACCCCCATACTTGTTAAATCCAACCTGCAGCTTGGGTGAAAACCCTCAACTGTCCATAGCTTGAGACGTCCTTCCGTTGTGAAAAGCATTATATAAATGTAATTTTTTGTTGTTCTGACAAAGCCCTTAGTTATTGTACTCTGCTCCTGTTAACCCTGCAAGCCAAAGCCCTAATGATGGTCCTAGCTGGACAAGCAACAGGAAAGATTGCCAAACAGTGATATCAATGGCAAGCTATGTGGTTTTAGCTGGTTAAACTCCAGCAGTTACCCCCAACACGTACTCTGAGGTCCTCAAGCTTTGGCTCCTGACACGCCTAATGCGTTCCAGAATTAGGTAAGCAGGATGTGTCCCTCCAGGGAGAGAATACGTATTCCATCAATCTATCTCTGGGATTTCCATGTGTAGGTGAGACGCATGGAATTCTCAGTTTGGTTTGGTAATGGGTTTCCACATGTGTCAGACGCTCAGCTGAACAAAAAAAATTCTGACAAAGGCACAAGATAGGTACAGTGCAGTTAAGGATACCAGTCTCAAAAAGCATTTGGAATGAGATGTAGTTGAAGGCAGGCAATGTAGAGGTGGAGGAAAGCACCTGATCACGGATTGAACGTGGGGCAGAAAAGACAGCTGATGATCAAACTGTATGCTAAGGTTGTGCACATGTTCGATGAGTTTGTGAGATAGGCCGGGTAGGTTGGTCTGCACGGGACTGCACTGTATGTATCTGGTTCCGTTTTTCCCCTGCTCAGTCAATCCAGGATCAGATAATGTAGCATTTCACCATCTCTTTATAAATAAAAATCCTGACTCTGACCAAAAATCTTTTAGTGAGTTTCTTAATGAAGGTAGGTGTCGATAGAAAGTGGTTTGGGATTTTCGATTTCTGGTCATGTTAAGTTGCAGTGCCCTTTAATTGTCACAGTAGATTTTTCCCTCACATACAGGAAATAACTAAGGAAATTGTTCTGTTTATGGAGCAATTTTAAAAAAGAAAATTGAACTACAAAAGGTCTTTAGGTGTCAGCCTGGCTCAGTTGGTAGCACTCTTCCCTTTCGGTCAGATGATTGTGAGTTCAGTAGAACATAAATTTACATGTTAGACAGAGGTCCTGTCTGCATGTTCAGGTGGATGTTAAAGATCCTCTGTACTATTCAAAAAGAGAAGGGAGTTTCTCCCAGTATCCTGACCAATGATCCTCCAGATATTATTAGTCATTTACTTTATGGCTGCTTGTGAGTCGTTGCTGTGCACACATTGGCTGCAGTGTTTGCCTACGTGATACACGATCAATCCACTTTACAGTAAATCTTGTGAAGCACCTTGAAACATCCTCCTGATCTGCTCTCCCTTGGTGATGTGATCCAGAGGGTGGGGGCAGAAAGCTGAAGGCCCGACCACCGATGTACCTCACCATTACATTTTATTATGATGATTATTATTATTAGGATTTTTATTATTACTATTAGCTTGCTTTATGTACCCAACCCAATCTACTCCACCTGCTCTCTGGAATTCTATCCTAAAGTTCCTTCACCTGGCCCTCTCCTTCTTTCCCTCCAGCCTTCACATCCCTTTGACCTTTTGCGCTCCCTGTCAGTTGTGTAAAGGTGTGTAGAAGGGAAGAAGAACATTTACTAACCAATGGAAATAATTTCACCCCTTATCGACTCACAAAACCCCTAAATTTCTATCAGATCTCCCCTCACCTTCTCTGTTCCAGTGAAAATATGTCTCAATTCTGAGTGAAATTGCTATTTAATGTTACTGTGCACAGCATAGGTTAGTGGGTTTGTTTTGTTCCTCTTATTACAAATAAAAGATTTCTAGTTTTAGAGAAACCTCAGTTCAATAAGAGCAGAATTATTTTAAACAATAAAATGTACATCAATTTATACAAAATAAGAGGTTTTATTATGTGGGAACCTGGGAACGTCAATTCAATGCTACTCATCTCATACCTTCACTTGATTCAGATCCCATCAGAATGCACTTTGCTTTAGACACACCGTGGTAGACAGTACACTTCCAGCTTCCAGAGCTGATCTGATTGTCTTCCTGTTCGTATGTGCGGTGCAGTCTCGTGCCCCCAGCGGGGACCTGACCCAGAGTGCTGACCTGTGGCCATGTTTATAGCACACCCTGTTATGACACTGGCCCTGATTTTTATACTCCCAAACCACTGTGTTATAACTTTATCTAATTAATTATCTTAGTTTTGGTACTTTTTTTTGCACCTAATGTTTGCACCTTAATTTTCTCTTAATACGGCGTGAGGATTGTTGGTAACCGCCAGGATACAGGAATCTTTGTGAATCTTAAAGAAAAAATAAGGCCTGTTTAGATTTTGAATAAAAAATATAAATCATTATTCACGCTTTTGTAGAGCTCTGGCTAATTAAAAGTTAATGTGAAGTGTTAAACATGTTCAGAATCCAAAAGACTATTTTAATTTAATAAGCTATTTTGGCATCCCCATCCACACTGCTTCGAGGTCTGGTGACTTTTTTGAGTGGGGGAATTTAAACAATCTTATCAGCCCAATTATAATCAGTCTTGAAATGACAGGAATCTTTATCTCAATATATTTAATAAACACAAACTTCTTTGATCCGGCCTGTTGACTTTGGTGTGAGACTCTAGGCATGCCTAGAAGGCTAACACTTTTTTTAAAAAAAACTCTTGTGAATGTGTGCAGTGGCGCAACAAGAACACTTGGCTACAGAGATTTACAAGCAGATGGTATAACCATTTTCTGCTTTTGTGAGACCGATTGGAGGGCAATGAGGCAGCTAATGCAGAAAAAGATAGAAATTTACTTGCTTTAACTTCATGCAGCACTCTGAAAGACTTCATTCAGGCCAAGCTCAACAATATCAGGCGATTGAATAAATGTTATCAGCATCGATAGCTCTACATGATGGTTTAGTTCACGGCCCATTTGCCTCCAATTTCTTCTCTTCACCCCTTTCTGGGTAGACTTTCTTCAGATTCTGTGAGGCTGACATTGCAGTCTGGCCTCCTACAGTGAGGGCTAAATGGAACCCAGTGATAGTGTACAAAACGATTTTGTTTTTTGAACTACAAGGAGCAGAACACAGAGCAATCAAGGAAAGCTGATCGAGTGGCGGTACATTTTCATTTTAAGAAGTAGCTGAGGTCAGATTCACATAGGAGACAATCTGAATTTCTTTCAATGTTTGGTAAAGAGGAAAAATAATTTAAGTCAACTTTCTATATGCAGGAAGGAACTGGTTATTATGTTTAAATAAAAAATATACGGCAGAGAGATTTGAATTCAGTATAGATTAGATTTTTCTGAGTATTCT